TTCTAAAAACTTCCCTGTTATTGTTTCTTTCAACTATATGTATCAAAGTACAAATGAATAATTATAGATTGTTTATTTCGTTCTAAGTTTTACTCAAAAAGCAAAGTATCCTTTTAACAAAGTTTTGATAAACGTAAACTTTTTTCAACAGATTAAATATGCTTTAATGAGCGAAATATAAAAGAAAATTTTATTTGATTAATTTTAGATATATTGAAATTTAACTAAACCTCTTTTGCGTTATAATGATATTTAATGTTGAAAACTAGAAAGTTTGATGAATTAAGAAGTATAAATAAAGATATAAATTGGGAAGTATAAAAAAAAATCGTGTTATATTTCTGTGAACGTAAAATTTTATTCTTTGAGGCAAACCTGTAGATAAAAGAAATAATTAAAGTTACATGACATTGTACGCAAATATATAGAGGAAACTACAAAACTTAATAATTTAGTTTTTATTAAATACTTTTTGTGGCAATTTCAATTTTTAGAAATTACATTTGGGAAAGACATTAAAGGCTCTACCTTTTGCGAATTTTACAATGAAACGATGTGTGCTGAGTCCCAACAAGGATGTTCTGGAAGAGAAGAATGTGTTTTGCACGATCCAGAAAAGCGTAACCATTGTTATGTACTATGGCAAATTGACAATGTCACCAAAAAGTCGATAATTAAATTGAAGGTTAGTTAGGAATTAACAATTCACATAGTTTAGTTCAATAATCCATGTAGTTTATTGTGCAAATTTCTAATAAAAATACAGCGCATTGTCAAGAATAAGAAAAAAGAACAAAACTTAAAAGAATATGTTAAAAGCAAAATAATAATATCTGTGTCTCGTATGTTTTTTGAAACACTTGTCAAATTACTTCATAATGTTCAATATTCAAATTCATAACGTTCAATATTAATTTCTACTTAATTATTTCATGTAGCATTATGTGTCTTTTTTAGACATCTATTTACATGTCTAATTGTACTATTTTTTCTTAAAGAAAAAAAGCGAGCTTGTAACTAATTTACAAACAACTGCCAAAGTTGATAACTATGAACTCTTCTCTTGTTATTCTGAATATATTTTCTATATAACAATTGTGATGTTTTCAGGGTTGCTTTTTAGATAGCAATGATTGTTACGATAAGCCAAAGTGTGTCGAAAATACGGAAAGAAGGAAGGAGTTATTTTTTTGTTGCTGCGATGGTAATATGTGTAACGAAAACTTTTCTTTTGAACCACTTCCGACTTCAGCCTCCAAGCCTACACAGCCATCTGTTATTCATGGTATTTTACTTTATTAAATATTATTCAGACTATTTTTGAGTATTATAATACTACTTTAAATAATTAATTTTTCAGAGTCTGAACCAGTCCCTGATGAAAAACAGCCAATTACAATTTTAATATTAATATTAATTACTACATTTTTTATATCATTCGTTGTATTGTTTTCTTTATGGTACTATCGTCGCCAGAAGTCGGGTGATTTTAACGAGGTTGTATGTCAGCTTTAATCAACATTGCGAATTGCATTGCATTTACAAAAATCATTGTAAATCTTTCAGCTGCCTACGGGGGAACCTCCGTTGCCAGAATCTTCACCTAATTTAGGTTTACGACCGATACAACTTCTTGAGATTAAAGCTCGGGGTCGTTTCGGCGCAGTTTGGAAAGCCCAACTTAAGCATGAGATTGTGGCAGTTAAAGTTTTTCCCATTCAAGACAAACAGTCTTGGCAGACTGAACAAGAAATTTTTAAGCTTGCACACATGGATCATGAGGACATATTACGTTTTATAGGGGTCGAGAAACGCGGTGATAATTTACAAGCTGAGTTTTGGTTAATCACAGCGTATCATGAGAAAGGTTCATTATGTGATTACCTGAAAGCAAACGTTGTGACATGGCCTGAGATGTGTAGAATCGCCGAATCTATGGCAAGGTAATGATTATTATTATTTATGACGATGGTTATATATGAATAAAATACTATGAAAAATACAAAACAGCTATGTATAATTTATAAATGAAATCATAATTTTATTAAGCCGCAACTTTTATTTGATTCATAACAAAAGATTGTTATTATGATTATCAGAGGTTTGATGCATCTACACGAAGAAATCCCAGCTAATAAGGCAGACGGTTATAAACCTGCTGTAGCTCATAGGGATTTTAAGTCAAAAAACGTCTTGCTAAAAGCTGACATGAGTGCCTGTATAGCAGATTTTGGTTTGGCACTTATCTTTCACCCGGGAAAGCCCTGCGGCGACACGCATGGACAAGTAATGCGCCTGTGTATATATTATCATTTACTTTGTTACAATATGAGATTAACCTGTTTTATTCTTTATAGGTTGGAACACGAAGATATATGGCACCAGAGGTGTTAGAAGGGGCAATAAATTTTACTAGAGATTCATTTTTACGGATTGACATGTATGCCTGTGGGTTAGTGCTATGGGAATTAGCTTCAAGGTGTACTGTACAAGATGTAAGCAATAGCATCAGAAGAAAAATAACAGGCCATTAAAAGCCGATGCTGATTGGACGTCGCACAGAAACGGAGTTCAGTTCCTTTTTATAGCCATCATTTTATAGTCATGGCTCAAATATGAATATGATGAAAAAGAATATTACATAATAATATAACCAAACGTTTCAATCGCAATTTTGGTTTCTCTTCAATGAAGTGGGAGCTGTATATATATTCATGGTCAAACGAAATAATCATCTCTTGCATTTGATTATTCTGCATGTAAATATATGTACAGTTTATTTTACCTAGAAAAGCTCAAAATTCGGTCGAAACGTTTTATTTATTTATTTATATATTTATATAATAATATAATAATATAATAATATAGTTTTATTTCAATATTTATATAATAGTATCGTTTTATTTATTTATTTATATAATAATATAGTGCTTGCGTTATATTCTCGGAGATAATAACTAAAAGGAATTAAACTCCTTTTGCAATGTTCAACCCGTGTTGACTCTCACTAACTTGTCACTTTCTTTCATTGCAAATTTAAGAGTTTTGATAACCATTGTCTGTATATATAAGAGTTTTTGATAACCATTGTCTGTATATATAATATAGGTTTACATTTCATTCATAAAATATTTTACAAATGGTAATTTAACGTTTTTATTCAACTATGAGTGATATAATGGTCGATATTATATATCTTATAACTCCTTAAAACACAAGATATTTTTTTATTTGTAAATTTTTTGTGTTACGTCTTTTCAAAATTACTATAAAATCTTAGAAAAAAAATCATTAAGAAAAAATACTTTTTATATGACTCCCAAAAACCCGTCATCACGGTTGTTATAGTTAGATTACGCACATAGTGAGTATATGAATACAATATCTAACTATCATGGTCGTGATGATTTTAAACGAAACTTAACCTCTCAAACTTTGTAACTTACTAATCATTTTTCTTATTCCAATATAGGGACCAATAGGAGAATATCGTCTACCATTTGAAGATGAAGTCGGACTTCATCCTACTCTAGAAGACATGCAAGAAAGCGTTGTTCATAAAAAGGAAAGGCCACTCATTTTAGAAACTTGGCGTAAACATCCAGTAAGTCAAACAGTATTCTCTACGATATTTCCCTCTTCCTGTGTCATATTTTTGAATACAAGAAGTACAAGAAAAGCTGTTCGGAATGATACGTATTAAATATTTCATCTTATGCATTAATATACAGTTACAAGTAAGATGTATCTTATCTCAGGGACTTTTATCAATTTGTGATACAATGGAAGAATGCTGGGATCATGATGCTGAAGCACGTCTTTCTGCCTCATGCGTAATGGAACGAGTTGCTACTCTCAGTAGAGCTCTTATATTAAATTCATCTACTTTGATTCGAGTTGATCGTACCAACGAGATTATTACTACCAAGGAATCTAGTATGTAGTTAGTGTCTCTATACATTATTATAGTTTTAGTTATATTGCACAACCATTTTTTGTATCATAATTTTGTTATACGTAACAATGAGGAATGTTGAAACAACAGTAAAAAGACAAGCATATATCTTCAGAGTTTTACGTTTCACTATTCGAATAACTTATTAATTGTTCCTGCGAGACGTGCGTGCTGTATAGATTATTATCAGTCACAATATCATGAAGAGTTCACTTCCTCAACCTGACAAGAGTATGTAAAATGTGTGTGTGTACTGCATCATTTCTACCAATGTCTTTTCATTGGTAACAAGTTCATCAATGTTAGAGAAGTATCGGAAAGGAGAAATATCTTAAACCTTATTTTAATAAAAATATAATATTACAAGGTAATGGTACAAGAGCAAAATACTATAATTTTGAATATAAGTAATCACACGAGATATAAGTGACAAAAGTTAAATATAAAGTGGTAAAATCGTAGCCCATTATTTGCCAAATTATATCACACAATATCATACTTTGTACATACAAGTTTCTCTGTTTTAAAAACGTAAATATAAAACATGATTTTAACCATATGTGGTACGTACTGTTGTCAATCCATGTAACAACTTGCAGATGATAATGCAAGGAGATGCATAGAGATAATATCTTTATCTTTTTTTTTGCTTTTATTTAATGAAGGATTTTGTGGATTTGTACTTGTAGAACGTTAGATGCAAGTCTGATGTTAAAATGTATGAATTTTTATAACAAGATGAACAAGATTTTTTCACAACGAATATGTTTGATTGGACAATTATTTAAGAATGGTTCAAAACTGTTCGATTAAAATTATACTGAATTTTTATATCTACTATTGTAAATAAATATTGTATATTCAGAAAAAGGAAGTAAATATTTGAAATACGCTAAAAATTTTCTTATTAGTGTTTTTAAAATTTAGATAGTATCACTAACAAGTCGAAAACCTATGATGTGAATTTCGATGGTGGACGATTTATTGTTTTTATCTCAGACTCTTGTAGGTATTTTTCTCATAAATAAGAAATTCCTTGTTTGAGAGAGTATTTCTTTATTGTAACACTAACACGCAAATGAACGTATTTCGCGAGCCTCTTGGTGAAAAGCGTCTCCTCTGCTAGAGAAGCAAATTGGGTTCACGTAAGACGGTGCTTTATTAGTACAACTAATATTTGACAAAGATAACTTCAGCACGACCGAGATAAAATAAACGCTCGTAAACGGCATCTTGGCATGCAACGCTATAACGAACGGTGCGTTATACGACGAGTTATAACGTTCGTGTTGCGGTATCGAATTAGTGACTTCTTAACTAAGGGTCGAAATTGATGTAATTTCAACGACGCGACTTCTTCGAAACGAAACTTTACTTTGTTCGATGAATATTTAATTGTAGCTTCGTGAATTCAACAAACCTCTTTGGATTTTCAATACACACGTCGGGAGTCATCTTTCAATACTCGTAAAGAAGAGAACAAAATTAATCACCTCCGTCTCTTCGCATCCGTTACTTTAACGTTTGCATTGGAATTAATTAACACATTAAGGGCGGGAGTCGTAGTACTACAATTTAGCTCGACTGCGGCTTAAAGGCGGGAGTCGTAGTAAAACAATTTAGCTCGACTGTACCTTAAAGTTTTTATGATCACACAAAATATCGCCCGCCGTTAATGTGTTAAGCCGACTTATACCCGACGTCGTTCTATTCGAGACCGGACAAATTGAGGAGGAAAGGAGGAAATTACACGCAATAAAATACACATACGGAAAAAGTAGCGGAAAGGCATCTGTTTACGATGTAAGTCTAGGGTATTTGTCAGGTATTGTATATCCCCGTGGCGTGCATAACTAGGGGGGAGACCTGATTGGTTGATTGGACGTCAGAGCGCGCACAAACTGCCGACCGCCAATCGACAATGTCAATTTTCGCTTTGAAATTCACAGTGTCTTTCAGTTCGCATCGCGCCGCGCCGCGTCGCGCCGCGAATGCAACTTCTTTCGCACTTCCTCCCGGACGTTCTTCGACGATTTCTCGCGAATTCTCTCAACGGCGGGTTAATGCCGCGTGACTTCTAATCTCGCCGGAGAGAGACAGTATTCGAGGTGGTTCTTCTTCGGCGGATGCGTAACGGAAAGCTCGAAAGGTAAGCGACAAGTGATAGTTTGACTTTGAATTTTGCACGCTCGATTGTCGGGATCTTCTTCACCTGTCGAAGGGAACCCCGTCATTACACTATAGAGAGTTTTATTCAAGCTACACTTGTTTCCCTTCGTTATCTGTAGTACATAATGGAGTCGGCTTTCGTCTGTGTGAAGGATGTACGATGAAAACGATTCCGTCTGAGACGAATGCATTGGAAATTTCGGAAGAATGTCACATGATCTCATTAACTACTTAATCTTTTTGCTAAATGATGGCGTACCAAGGTAGTTTTCCATATTTTGTCGATAATACTGACGAGGAATGATCAGGTGAACATGAATAGTGAGAATATATACAGAAATATAATAACAGAATAAGGGGAAAGCATACTTTTAAAAATTCCATAGCAAGATGAAGAGGATGTAGGATTTTGTATTTTTATCTACAAAGTGGACTCCTTAATCCTTCGTGGGGGAACGTTGCTCTACAACTTCAAGAGAGAATTACACGCGTGTTCAGGTTCGAAATGCGGCAATTTCCGAGCAGGAACTCTGCCTTCAAATTTTACCAGCGACATCGTCATTTTTCACGAAACATTCACCGGGCCGATAAAACCGCGGTCCGTAAAAACGCTCGTTTCCGAGACTTGTCTCGTGTACCTCAACCGCGAGGTACAATCAATTCTCACATTTCGATGCTGCGAACAATCGAAGGCCCGCCGAGAACGTTATCCCATTCGCGGGTCCAAAATATGCGAATCGTCGCGCATCGTGCGTCGTCGTCGGCGTCGCCGCCGCGCAGAGCGCCGCTCGGGGAGGAGGTGGGCGTCCTCGTCGTCCTCCTCCTGGAGCACGTGCCTCCGGCTGTCAGTCGCGTGTCATCGCTGGCCGGTGGACGCGACGGGATACGGCGAAGTTGTCGCGCGGACCGACTGCTCTAAAAGCACAATAGCGAAGCCCGGTCGTGTGATCGCGCGCGATATCGCGACGGGAAACAGAGAAAGAGAAAAAGAAAGAAAGAGAAGGGAGAATAAGAGAGAGAGAGAGAGGGAGAGTAAGAGATAGTACTGCTATAATCAGCGACTCGCGATCAGCCTAAAGGAACCAGCGGCGCGCGGAAATAGTCGAAAAAGCCTCTCCGTCGCTGACTGCCGGGGCACACGGACACCTGACACGGAAGACACCCGTTCGGCCGTGGAGAAGCGGCCGATTGTGCAGCGCAAAGTAAAGTATACACACGATCTCTCCCCGACGATCCGTGCGTCGTCGTTCCGCTGCATCGCGGCGCCGTGCGTTCGCACGTCGTACTCTGTCACGGCGCGTCCCGCATTTCGCGCTCTCACCGGGAACGATTAATCACCCCGCGATTGTGTCGTCGAGTGCATGACAGACGATATCGGGAGGCGCGCTCCGAGGTGGCGGGATTCACCGTCGTGAAAATTCAGCGTCGCTACGCGTCGTTAGCAGCGATCTTACGGGCGCAGTTCGTATCGCAACGCGACTCTGCAGTTTTACGCTCGAGCCATTGTGTCTCGTTAATTCATAACACGGCAGTTTACGATGATGCACTGCGGCGAAGTAGCGATTGTTTATCATAACGTCTCGTGTCGGTTTTACGGGACAATAGAGTGATATTACGCCGTGCACGCCTGACTAAAGGGAATAATAAAGCTTGACAAAACACGATCGTGTCTTTTTCAAACGCACCGTGTGTGTGTGTGGGTGTGTGTATGATTTATTATTATTGCAAATTGCCGATGCGAATGATAAATCCTTCTTCCTCTTTCCCTGCCTGGTTTTCTCTTTTTCTCTTTCATTCTACTCTCTCGGGAAATAATTTGCCGCTATACGCCTATAAACCTTCGGCGCAACGTCGGAAGGGTTAAATCGCCGATAAATCTCTCGCCGACTACGCCGCGCGGTAATCGCTTTTAAATTAGCGATCCGGAACTCATTCCTAGAAGTACGAAGTAACGCGTCTTTCCCTCTCGCTCTCTTTCTCTCTCTCTCTCTCTTTCTCGTGCGCGCGGAGATTCAGGAAGCCAGGAAAGCCCAGGTAGTACGTCTCGGGGATTTATTTATAATTGGAATTTATAATCGAATACATTTGTTCTCGCGTCAGTCTTCGAGACGCGTTGCCTTCAACTTAAATATCTTGGATACGCTCCTCGTGTCACCGTACGTTCCGTTTTAAAGACACCGGGTCGGGATTTTATCGAAAAGGACATCCGCGCTGAGTTTAAAGTTGAATCGTATTCTCGTATTTCTCGCGGCTCGTCGGGGGAAAGTTTAAACGGAGAGGATCGCGGAAAAAAAGTGAGCGAAGCTGCGAACGAGTTCATCGAGTGAAGTACGCTGAATGAAATTCCCTCGAGGTATCGCCGAGGGAATTGAGGTTCTCGCGAATTAAAGCTCACGCGTTTGCGAGCTTTTCACGTCTGACGGTACCGTCGATTAGCTTTCGTTAACACCGAGCGGAATCCCGATAAATCGAAACAGACGGTTGTCGTCGTCATCATTATCATCATTCCCCATTCATCCGTACGTTAGACTTCGACCGACTGTCTATCTCGGCGAAAAAATCATGTAATAATCGCGGATGAAATTTCACTCGGGCCTTCCGTTTCCGGCGACTTGCGCCGCGCCGATACGTTGTCGCGACATGATAATGCAGTAAAAAGTACGGAACGTCTAGAGAACGGCCTCGAGACGATGAATTAATAAATGAACGGATTCAAATCGAGAAGTAAAGTTTTAAGAGAAACAAATTCCAGCGACGAATCAACGGATGACTTCAGAATGTCGCCATTCGCGAGTCGACGCCGATGTCGAACTAATACATTCTAAGACGGATCTCTCGGTGGATCTCTTGCTTCTTACGTCTTCGTCGGCGCGTTTCTCGCGGACGATAATGGCGCGAACACTCGACGGTCACTCGGGACGGTTCAGCCACCGAAGGTGTGTACCTTTGCTCTATGATGCCACCAAGATTATCGGGCTTAGTGCTGAGCTAGCACGAGAGGTGCTCGCCGAATAATGGGAGAATGCATCGCCGCAGTTTCCGGTACACTGAGGAGTCCGCGTCTGCAGGAATACAACCGCTGCCGTTGACGATCGATATTATTCGCCTCGAGTGTCCGTCAGCTTCGTCTAACAGTCCCGAAGTGGCATCTTCGCTCTGGATCAAGCGCTACATGTGGATGACTGCTCGATCGTCAACCCGAGCACGGTCATTTCGTATTTCAGCGCGGACGCGAGCCGAGAGATCAGCCGCGGGATTAAGTCGATGCCGTTCAATATAGTTTCCCCTCTCGGTTATCTTGACTCGTTGACATCGTTCACCGGTTAACGATCCGTAACGATCCTTTCGTGACGACGCTTATGTACTTGGATTCGATTAAACGCGGAGCGTCGTACGTACAAATGTGAGGAATGCTGCGTCGCGAACGCGCGAAAGCGCGTATGCAAATATATGCGTGTACGCGGACGAGCAATTAGCTCGCGATGTTTATTAAGTTATCGTCGGACACACGTTGGAATTTTTTCGCGCCTTTCGTATCCTCTCTCGAATTTCAGATGTAGCGATGCAGCTTGGATGTCAAATTAAGGATTCCGATGAAGCCCGTGCGCTCCTCGTGTTCACCGATATAATTAGAATAAGAATTTTGAAACAGAAACCCGAGGGAATGAAAATGACTACTTCGTGATTAAAATCTTGAAGATCTACTTTAAAGAAAAAATTCAAGAAAAAGCTGCAGAACCTTGGAAAGCGTCGAAAGAGCGGAATGATCTGCAAGAAATGCATTGTTTTCAGCGCGGGGACTTTAAAGAAAAAATTAAAGAAAAAGCTGCAGAACCTTGAAAACGTCGAAAGAGCGGAATGATCTGCAAGAAATGCATTGTTTTCAGCGCGACAGTTGAAATTACCGAGGACGGACAATTCTACAATGAGCTGCCGCGATCACGGAGATATTCGAGTTGGTCGAATTATTTATTGAATTGTATACGTTTCAACTGATATAACCGAGTGTTTCCAATGGAAAACAATGTCAGTTGCGAAGCGGGCAAACTCAGCGAGAAAGAAATCTGATAGAATCTCCCGGTGAAATTGTCGCCACCAAACTACCAAGTGACATCCGAGCTGTGTGTGTGTGTGGAAGCTTTTGTGTGGAAGCTCCTCCGACAGCGAAGGTGCGTAAAGGATAACAAACGCGTATAACGACGAACACCGAGGCGGGCGACCCGCGACGATTTACGAGATTTCTCCCCGCGAAGCTACAACTCTCGTGAAAATATTTCGCGAACCGCCGCATTTTTGGACACGTGTCCCCCGTTACTATATAACCTTTCGCGCTAAAATGAGGGCGACCGGGTGAGGGAGAACGCGTTGACATTAAGGTTGCCGCGTTGGGATGGCGTCGGGGTCTACGAGAGTAAATTCCCGGCATACCGTTTTTTCGGATATTGCGGCAAGGAAAAACAAGCCCTGTGGAAACGTACGCGGGAATCGTGTGCCCCGGGTGTTTTAACGCGCGTAAAGAATTTTGACAGCTCGCCGTGCAGTCGTCATTTTCAGCCGAGGATATTCTAAGTAGCTATGTGAGAGATCGTACGAGAAATTCCAAGTTTTATCATCGGCATAATAAATTTACGAATTTAATGTCAAGACGAGAGAAACGGGGAATATATATAAACATATATAAACATATGTAAATATATACATGTAAATATAAATACGTATTTTCTTGTAAAAAAAAAAAGATAGAAACACGGGTTAAAGCTACAAGTTGTTTAATATCGATCAGGAGTTACGCCATCGTGAAATTACAAACTGATCTAAGTATTGTTTTTCGCAATTTTGCCTTCAAAGTCGGCCAAGCGAAAAGGAAAAGACAGAGAGAGAAAAAGAAAGAAAGAGAAGGTTCCCTGTTTCAGATAAGTTTTCAAACATTATAGAATGTTTAATGAATTCGTCCCTTCTTCCTCTTCCTCGGATCTATTTACTTTCCTATGAATCCGGCTTCTACTTTCAAAGAAATCTTACAACGTCAAACGATCCTGAGAGAATTCTCTTTCTTTTCCAGACACATTCGTCTTCTTTTCCGAATCGCGAGATCTCCTCGAGATCGGCTCTCGACGGGACATTGATCCAGAAATTTCCGCGAGTAGTCGCGTCGCGAGGGTAGAAATACCGGCGAGACATGGCCTGGTTCGTCGCGAACGGCACAGGATCGCCGCTTGGCGATAATTACGTGCTGAACGATTTTAACTACAACAACGAATTGAACGAGTCGCTGAGCAATGAGTTCAAGTGTCTCATGCGCGAACAAATCAGCAAGAAGCAGGAGCAACAAGGATGCGATGTTAGTTGGGACACCGTGCTATGCTGGCCCAGGACACCTCCCGGCACCCTAGCCACCATCCCCTGTTTCGAAGAGCTTAACGGAATACCTTATGATAACAGCCGTGAGTAAATACATCCCTATTTTCGTGTAATATCGAAACCATCGGGACATTCGTGACACGTTTTTCGGACGGTAGAGATAACTTCTTTTTCTTCTTCACTGGAAGTAGCGTCGAAGTTCTTCAACACTCGTTACACACAGGGGATCTTATCGGAAAGTGATTTCCGAGAGTCGTCATCTGGGTAGCAAAACGTGTCTCGATCGCTTTGGTGGTAACTATAAACGCATTTACGAGACTCGTCATACTTTTAGAAATTACTTCACGAATGACGATATCGTCCGGAGGCGGCTGTTCTGTACTAAAAATTGATTTTTATATAGTCTGCGATGTGTGATTCGCTTTTCTAAAGCGAATCATTCTAATATTTGTAACAGAGGGATCGCTACATAGACAAAAAATGTGGTAGAATCAAATAAATGCAAACGGAGAAAAAGATTTTTTCCTGACACAGCAAACTATTAATTATTATCGATACAGCAAACAAATTTGCAATACAAGTAAATGTCTACTCATATGAAAGAAATATTATATTCGTATGTGTATATCGTTAATTATATTTCTACTTCTAGTAAATATTTATCAAATATTTATCAAAAGGCTGTTGAAGTAACCATTTTATTTGAATCAAGTGAATATTACTTGAACGGTAACTTTTTTCAGTGTAATTGAACCAATTACTTTTAATAATGTTACAACAATCTCGATTCCTCGAGTGTTCTTTCCTTTACAAACTCACATATCTACAATCGCCGTCGTTTCATATCGAGTTTATCGAGTGATCTCGATTTTTCATATAAAAAAATGTCCTCACAAGAATTCTCTTGTATGTAAACGATTTTTCGCTTTGTTGGAACAATTAATAGGTTAAGACGGTTTAAACGATGCGTTTTTCTCGCAGCTCGGGACCGACAAATTATAATAAGTACCAGAAAATATAGTATCTTATATAAGCGACTTGTGCTTTCTCTTGTCTCGAATCGTGTATTTCAGATTGCCCGCGAGCGAAAATAAAGTTAGGAATCCATTTGCTACGTGCTGCATAGCGTACCTGAGGTAGGACGTGATCGCGATTCGGAGCGTACGACGCGAAGTAGAAACAACGCTCGTGTAATTGCGTTGCCATATGCTGCGAATTTTAACCGTCTGTTGCCATTTGCACCGCTATTGTTAAATATGCGTTTTCAAACGGTGGAATCTCGATTTTACAACGATATGCTTTTAATAAAACGCGCACCGCTTTCCCACCGCTCGTCCCCGTCAACGATGCGAGCTGTTAGCCTTATGGAAAGATGCACGATTTATATAATATAATGCTAAATATAAATATCAATTAATTACAAAAATAAACATTAATTATACGCGGCATACGATGCGATATATAATATGAATACTGATGTGAATTAACTTCCCACACATCTCGTTGAATTATTTAAACGCGATGCGCAACTGTGTACACAAATTGGGAACAGAACGTCGCGTTCATCTGGACACCGATTACCCGAGCATCGATCGTACGCCCCCTTATCAAACAAAAAAAATATTCACGCGCGCGTTTCCCCTAGCACTTTTCGTAGTTCGTTGACTCCGAAGCTTGAGGAACATTTCGAGGCTCCCGGACTTTCTTAATATTCGCTCGGCCGTGATAGTCGATCCGGAAATAGGATGGTCGCAGATAGGGAGGTCACAGCGCGACACTCGTAAAATATAAAAGCCTCCAGCTTGTCGTTCTCTCTTTGAGAGTTGGATGCAGCAGGAGAATTAAGGCCGGCAGCGACAGCCAAGGCTCGGTGGGGTGATACAAAGTTTTAATTTGACTCAGCTGACGGTCAATAAAATTCGCTCGACTTCGACTTTGCAGCTCGTTCAGTACACGCGACTTAAAGCGAGACTGGCTTGAAGTTCTCTGTCTCTTTCTCTCTCTCCTTCTTTCTCTCTTTTATGATGCATATCGGTTTAAAGGATTCACTCTCATCTCATACCTCGTAGCCGGCATCTCCCTTGATTAAAACGACGACCGTAATCTCTTAATATACGATTATACAACACAGTATCGATCTTCGTGAAATCTTCAGGAAATGAAGCTGAGCGGAAATCGCGCGAAAATTTTTCCGGGCTCCTCGACGACGAATATCACGTCGTGCGAATATACTGAGAAATCCATTCAGTTAACTCAAGCAAAATTCTTGGTTGGTCATGGGCAAACAAGTATTTTAGTTGTGAGAACCAAAGTTTGATTCTCTGAAACTTAAATGGAAAATGTTTGATTCAGGGAATCAAACCTTTGAGTTCTCACAATCAAAACATTAGTTTGCCCATATCCAAGCGAGAATTTTGTTTGAGTCAATCGAATGGGTTTCTCAGTGTACATCCATTATTCGTAATCCGGAATAGGTCAAGATCGCGGTGCATGTCCCAATCAGCGACATTTCGCCTCGCGATGTCTTATCACTCCGCGTTCCAGTACATATCGATTACGTCGTCCTCGAGCAGACTTGGAACGCTGCGACGGGAAGATCGAACCCAGGCGAGCAAGTCAGATAGCGCCGGTTGTGTGCTCACATGAGGTCGCGTATCGCGGATAGATCGATTTAGACGGATAGAGCTATCGAAGTTTACGCCCAAAGAAGAGAGAGAGAGAGAGAAAGAGAGGGCAAATACAGCACCGCGGTGGGTTAACGTTTTAATTAAAATCGCGTTTCTAACGCGCACATCTCAGCCCGATATTTTTCCGCGCGGCGATTTTTTTCGCGCCGACGGTTCTTATTCGATTTTTTCACGACCCGCGGTTACGACCCGGAGGGTCCGAACCTCATAACTTAATCACTCTGATTGTTCCGGTCGTTAGCGTAGCGATAAATAGATTCTTTTCCGTCCGGCGTAATCCCCAATTCATGCGGCGATCTAGATTACACGGGATGTCTTATAACTGCCGGTATAAACGGCCGGAGGATGATTCCACCGTGAAAGAGTAAGTCGGGGGAAAAAATGCGCTCGAATAAATTTCTCACGCGAGCCGCTCCTTCTCAAGAGATGGATAAATAGGCAGAAGCCGCTCTTGCAAATTGGATGGTTCATAAAGTTATATCTTTTCCTTAAGCGTGAATAATCAGCGACTTTGCGCGTCACGTCGTAGGACGTGCGCAACAATGATTGTCGAAGTAGGACGGTGAAGAGAATAGAGCACCCCCTTTGAAGGATGTCGAAACTATAGCACGTAACGGCAGAAGATGGCAGACAAGGGAGAAGTGACCTATTGTCGCGCGCTAAGGTCGTTAAAGATCGCCCGGGTGTACGGAGGATAAGGGGATATTACGTGAATTTTCCAATTCGCAAAAATTGATTCCCTCGAGAAAAGAGCCCGACCGACGAGGCCGACTTATCCGGCACGTTCGATTTATTTTTACGCAAGGAGCCACCCTCCTCTCGCTGCCCTCCCTCGTTCCTTTGTCCTTTTTTTCCCGGCCGTACCGCGGTTTCGGCCGCACCCTGTGACGCGAGATGGAAATTCGGGCCGTAAATGGCCGAGTCTTCAAGGATAACGCACACGATTATTAACTGGCAGATCAGTACCGTTTGCTGGAGCACGACAATGTAATCGTGTGTGTATCTACGTAGTCTGGGATATAAATGCAGGTATACGTGACCGCGGACACATATGTGCGCGCGCAGGCAATTAAGGGACGCTGAATAATTACCGCCGAATAGCGACTGTCGGTCGGAAACCGTTAATTTGATCACGCGCTGTTATCGGGAATAAATTACAACCGGACACACCTATCGGAGGCACGCAGGCCGCGAACAATAAATACGCTAATATGCTAGTTCGTCGATGAACTTGAGGGAGTAGGAAGCGACGGGAGTGTCAACACGGCGAATTTTTCAGAGATTAAGCCATCACCTCTTAACGATCTTGCGCGTTAAACCGGCTTTAAACAATACACCACAGTAGGGGACAACATTGGCCCAATATTCGTCGCCTATGTTGGACCAGTCTGAAAATTTATATGAAAAGGAAGAATTACAAGAGCGGTACTCAGTCCGATTTCGGATTTACGATCGTTTTGAATTTATCTTAATACGTTGGTGACGAGAAACGAGAAATCCTGTTTCCTTATAAAGTCAATGCACTGTGTGAAGTCGGCTTTATGAGCGTAAACACCCGCATGGTGATTTGTTTTTTTTAAGAATTAATCGATTACTTCCGAATAATCTCACGTTACCAACACGTGCAGAGGCACGCTCGTGCGGCAGCTCGAAGGAAACAATCACGATTTATTTTTATTTGACGTAAGTAAATCCATTAGCAGAATGTCACGACACGTTCGTTATAACATTGGTAATTTGTAAGCCGGTCAGGTATCGCTCGAAGCGGAACGTTCAGAGCGCGTAAACCACGTAAATAATCGTAAAATCTTGCCGTAAACATACGGCCTTTAATACCGGCGTACTACAAGCATACATCAACCCGTGTAGGTGTGCATAGTGCAACGAAGACACGATGGATGCAGTATCTAGGTAACATTAATTACTCTGTCGAAATTAATTAACTAAAGGATTAAAGCGTGAATATCTCTTAGAAAGAGGAGCGCAATCTCAGACGGATTATTTTCGATCAACTCGTTTCTCGAGAGAAAAATACGTATCTTTTTTTTATCTACAAAAACAACGGCGTGAAACTCTGTGAAATCATTGAGAAGAATTGCGCGACGCCCGCCGGTGCTATTCGATTTATTCATCAAGTCGTCGGAAAGAACAGCGATAATGCAATCATCGAAGGTTATCTCTCGCTGATAAAGGAGATGCGCTCGACGCTTAAATCGTTTGAAAATATTATCATGGGGTATTATGTGTTTTTCATCGTGACGCTCGACCGTCCCCGTCACTCGACCGCCACAATTGAAAAATATCACATTTCTGAATGTGCACGTCCCCGGGCTTTTCGTCCGTGATTCGATTTCGGGCGCAGATTGTCTGACAGAGGTAAAAAAGCCACGTCGGCA